GGTTTTATTAAACAAAAAATAAACAAGAACCTGAGAGATGGAAGGAGATAAAAGAGAGGAAAAAAACTAAGAGGTCACTGAAGAACAGTTTACACTATTCAATTTATAATTTTAAAAAGTTCACACAAAGTTTCCTGTGGACTTCATGTAACAGCTTCCAGAAGCTGGGAAGGTGATGATTATAATCAGTAAATAATGGCTGAGTATTTTCCAGACTGCCCTGTGCCCACTGCTGTAGGGTTGGTTAGTTCTGATTTCTTCAGTTTTAATCCCGTGATTCATTCATTGTTGATTTTTTTCATTAACTGATTTCATTGCATATCACAAACACATACCTCTCAAAACCTGCACCTTGCCCTCTAGTGAGTCATGGGTAAGTGCTTGGCACAGCCTGTCCTATTACATCTTTTTTCTTTCTTTCTTTCTTCTTTCTTTCTTTCTTCCTTTCTTCTATCTATCTATTTATTTATTTACTTATTTATTTATTGAGATAGTGTCTCCATGTAGTTCAGGCCGGCTTTGAATTCACTATGTAGCTCACTGGGTTCTTTCTACGTAGTGAGTTCAAGGCTGGCCTGAACTATACAGACCCTATCTCAAATAAACAACAATAAAACCCTCACTATGTAGAAGGAACCTAGAAAACACGTTTAGAAGGAGACTCTGGCATCCCAGAACCTGGTAACAGGACTCAGAGTACACTGAAAACAGTCCTGATAGTTGCGGTTTACGGCAGCTGATGGATACACAATAAAATTGGCGAAGGGAAGTAGTATGTAGTGGTTTATGGAGTCCAGGAAAGTTCCAAACCTGGGCTTCCTCTGTCCTTTCTGGGAAGTCATAGGCAGTGTTACTCTTTTATCATCCACATGCCACAGTACATAGAGGCATTGACAAATAAACACATTCAGAGCTTTGCTTGTTTGTTTGTTTGTTTTGAGATAGGGTCTTGCTATGTGGTTGAGGCTGGCTTTAACTCACTGCATAGTCCAGGCTCACCTCAAACTCTCAGGGTTCCTCCTGCTTCAGCCTCCCAAGTGCTGGGATTATAGGCATACCCCACCACATTTTTTGGATTGAATCCAGGGCCTTCGTAGTGAGCTATATTCCCCATCCTTTTTTTGTCTTTTTTTTTTCTTTTTTTTTTGACAGAGTCTAGCTAAATTGCTCAAATGGGGCTGAAACTTTCCATCCTCCTGCCTCAGCCTCCCAGTGTGCTGGAATTACACATGTGTGCCATTATGCCCAACTAGGATCGTTTTTACTGGGGCTCCATCTCATAGGCGTGGCTGACTGTCCATGTAGCTTATGTCAGTCTCTAGCTCCTCAGAGATCAGCAGTGTGAGCTGTTATCCAGTGTACTAAAGCTCCACCCCAAACCACATCAGCACAGAGTAGCCACATCTCCCCCACCCCAGTCACGTGGTTCAGACTCCAGTGTGACCAACCCCACCCTAAATGAAGACATTTTTATCAAGTCTGATATGCCAAGGGGCTAGAGATTACCTCCCAGGAGCTGAGGGCAAAGGTCTAGTCTCTCTCTGGGCAAATTTAAGTTCTTTACTGTGCAAGGGTAATCATTTAAAACAAAGTCACAGAAAAGAAAATATAAATGACCAATAAATTTAAGAGACTCAGTTTTACTGGCTAAATATTACAAAATGCAAATGATGAGGGTTTTCTTATACATGGAATTCTTATCACATATGCAGGGCATATGCAAAAAGATAAGCACACTCAGTGTTGGTGGCAACTAATATAGACTTTCAGGACAATCTAGCAGTATAAAAAAATAATGAAAACAAACATGACTTTCAGTGCTGTTCTGCTTTGAAGATTATATCC